TCACCTAAATGCCGAAGGGGAAGTTTCAACACCGATATAATATTACTGTCCTATTCACTCTCGGCGACCTTTCCTGATGCAGACTTGTCCTCCCCCCGCCTTCTCCGTCACGCGCACCCTCTCTCTCTCTCTCTCTCTCTCTCTCTCTCTCTCTCTCTCTCTCCATCTGTATACGCCGCTGTTCAGTGGCGTATCTATTATATTTGCCGTTTATTTTACAGGAACATTAACTTTTGCGCACGCTACTTCCATCTATATTGATTCAGAGCACGATAAAGTGTTAGTGTATATTGTTCTTTAAAATTTATTCCGTATTGTATCATTCGCATGTGCTTCAAAAGTTTCAAAGTATTGCGAGCAGCTTACAGAAAAAAAGAATCGTGAAGTTTGAAATATTTTATTATAATATTTTACTCTTTCCTTTGGTTAAGCGCAAGTTTTAATTTAGTTTCGCTGTTATAAACGGTAATTCGTTACTAAGCTCTGATAATTGTGTAGACACGCCGACAAGCGGGAATACATTTGGTGCGAATGGAATTTTTACACCGTTTTGTACAACATAATTTCCAAAGCGATACGCTTTATCATTTTGGAAAGAAATTTATGAAACAACTCGAATCCCAAACGGGTACTTTCCCCAAAATTACGGCACTGTCGTTGTCGGAGTCCTTCCTATTCACGACGGTCGTACGTACACGCCTATGGACTTGGGATGTGGCTATAAATTAGGTTTTATGAGGGAGATAAAATGCGCGTTATTATCTAAACGGCGACGCCTTTACAGAGATCGTGGCCTACGCTATTCTTTGACCGCGTACGTGTGTGCGACCCTCAGCACGAAGGTATGTGTGTGCGTGTACCGCGCGGAAAGGCATTCACCCTCGAATGCGTCGTCTACGACGATCCCTACGTAATACGCATAGATTGACTGTCAAGTTCAGAGAATGAATAGGAAATTGGATTGGGGAAACGATAACTCGACGCGACAGATAATCTTTATCGTGTAATATTTCCACATTTTCGTTCTGGAGTTTTTCCTCACCGTTAAAAGGCACGTTCGTGCAGTTTACGTTTTTTTTTACGGAGAACAGTGAATCAGTGTATCGTTGATCAGTGTATACTGACCGTTGTTAATTCCCTGGCTTGTAGATCACTGAAAATATTCAGTCAAATGCCTTCATATTCCAGGAATTCCAGAGATAATCATCCGTCCGATTGCACACTTTCAATGACTAAGTCTAAAACGATTTTTTGATCGCGCATGACTGATATATTATTATCCAAGTTATACTATCCAAGAAAAGGCGATAGAGTAAAAAAGAAGAAGACATCGGGATATTTACAGAAGCAGAAGAGAGAGAGAGAGAAAGAGAGAGAGAGAGAGAGAGCACATGTCTGCCTAAATCAACAGAACGAGGATACAACGGTGGAAACATTAATCACATCGTATTTCTTAGTCCTCATATATCAACTACTATCCAACGGTTGTAAAGATTCGCAGACAAAGATTTGTTGTTTCGACAGCACGGATAATTTGACTGCGAGTTTGTCATTAATTTTGGCACGACAGCGGTATAGAGACAAATTTATTACTCAGCACGCTTTTGCGATTATAATATTTTTGCGCAACGAGCAGTCTTGGGTGAGATTGTAAAGTATGATGAGATCCACCAGATCACAATTATATAATACGTTTACGTAGATTAACTGACACACATTCGCAATTTTAACAATCGACAAACGTTACGCGTGTCTCAGTCGATTTCTTTCCTTACGACACTTCAATTCAATTGCGCTTTACTTTAGACTAGATACAATTTCGCGGGTATGTTGTTTATTTTGGATGGCACGAAGAACGCAAGGCGACATAACGTTGTGATGATGCTACAGATTAATTTTTGATCGTGATGTCGTAGAGATGATATGGGAGCTTACAGAATATAATCCTGAAAGACGAAACGCGCGCGACTTACGAGCGCGTGGCGACGTCCGCTATAATTTATAACGCCGGGCCTCGCAACAAGAGCAGCCAGAAATGACCACCCAGTGGCAGGGTAAAGGATGTTCAGTCATAACATCTGATGAAGCGAAACATTAACGAGGCGATATATCAGTCGGCTCTTATAGACGCATGCGTGGGCGGCATCTTGGGCATCACCCAGAGAAGAACGAGCATAAAATGAAATGTGAAAGAAGTAATTCCTCAAGACTATCGGTTCCCTTCATCGGAGCGATAAGACATCATTTGTATTATTTACGATTTCGGAATATGTACGAAAAATAAACCGTTATCGAAATCGTTGAACCACGCACGTGGTTCAACTTATGTCACAGCATCTTTATACATGCATGTTTCTTTATACATGCCTTTTCTGCCTAACCGCCGGTGTGAAAATGAAAAAGCTACGAGAAAACATGTATTTTTGATCAGACATTGAAAATGAAAATTGGTAAGTTTGAAAAAAGAAACATTTGTTGTATGATGTGCTGAGAGAAATGCAGGAGTTGTGTGATAATGGCGGAAGAAGGCAGAGGCACTTTGCACACACAGAGCGAACATCGAAATTCCCATCGACTCTGTTATATCATGCATGTATATTCATCCTTGGGGATTATAGCACCATGCTCGAGCTAGAATAAAAATGATATAACCATTTTGCTCGATACTATTCCGGAAGGACAAATAAACGAATACATGGATATTTAAAACGCGTCAAAGCGCTATTTCCGCACGTAGTGAAACGTTTCACCGGAATAATTTCTAGTTTAATCGGTCGAAATATGCCCTATGAATCGTAGTTCGCCATTGAATTGCGATTAGACGATGCCGGTCCAACGATAAATAATCATATTGACGGAGTTCTGACACAGCTATTTATTCCATCTAGCATATTGCGGCAATCTATAATGTATGGAATCTAGCCGCGTGTTGCCTATTTCTAACTCGTTGACAAAAGGTATGAGAGCCGGTTTCGAACTGGCATTATAAATAATTGCAGCTTGTACGGCCAGCGCCATAAGTTGGCGTAGAAAAATATGACCAGCCGCGCGGCGGCAATGAAACACCATTACTCATTGGTTTAAATCCAGCTCTGAACAGCTAATGAGTTCGGCATACCAGCGCGTCTGCAACGATCATACCTGGCGTATTCTTCCTGACAATCGTTCGAATATATCAAGATTACGTGATGTTTACGAAAATCTGTAATATGAAATTCATGCGACTGCGATAGCGATCACGATTGTGTGCGCGCTGGTTACCAAATTATGAAGTAATAATACCTTCTTAACACACACACACACACACACACACACATACACACACAGCAGAGGTGCGCAGCATTTTTCAATCAAATAGTTCAGTATCTGAACTGAATTAAGAGACAGTTCTCTCCAATAGAGAGAAGACACAAACAGCCTGATACATTTTTCAGTCTTTTCAGTCAATGCAAACAACAATGATATTGTATAAAATCGATATTTTACTGAGGCAATTAGAACGATAACGATCGAATGGATTATGCGAGAACGCACGCTTAAAATTATAGGTTTGTACGAACAAAACGCATACTCGTCAATCTTAACGCGATTTAAAAGAGCAGCACGCCGAATAAAGGAGGACGGTAAATCTGTCGGGAAAGATATGAGCAGTCATGGCGGCAGCACTGTGCAGCCGCCCATTACTCATTGGCTTAAGCCGAGCACCGAACAGCTAATGAGGCCGGCATACCGCCGTGTCCGCGGCGATCATAGCCGGTGGACAGGCATAATAATCCGGCAGAGATTGCCGATCGGCGAAACGTCTGTCGGCGTGGCACGGTAGCCGCAGATGGAGCCTCGATATGGCCAGTGAGTGCGTGTCGAGACCGGAGCGAGAGACCATTCCTGGAAGCCGTTAACTACGTCGTCGCGTCCTGACGCGTGTACCGATCCGTGTACGCGTTGCCGATTAAGGCCGCCGCACGCCAGTCTGATCGATCGCCGAGAAGTGACTTCGATCTATTCTACCATTTCGCAGCGGCGAACTGCGATCTTACTGAGATTACGAAGGAACGTACGTAAGATCGTACGCCAGGTTGGACCTCAGGTTATTTTTTAACGTCGTTTTACGCTGTCATTTTATTTGCCAGGAAGGCGCCTGTCTTAAACCAAACGATAAAACTGATAGGTCCGACTGTTGTTCCGACTGTTGTCGTTATAAGTGACTATTGGCCGTCCAAGCGATTGTTCAAATGCCAATATCAAGTGAGAGACGATTAGAGCCGCAAAGACACACCACACTGGATTGACTTAGTTTCACCCCTGCTGGATGCAGCGGTGATACAGCTCGCACGACAAGACCCCTGTGCGCCCCTTGTGCAAGAGACATGACTGTTGTGTACTCGTGACGTAGACCAGCACTGATCGATCGTTCTTGATTTATAACTGAAACAGCGTAGACACAAACGTTAGGATTAATCGCAGAAATTTTTCGCACAATGACGTTTTTCGCGAGGAACGCAAAATATATTCTGTCACGTTTATTTTTAATCAATCGTGATACACGACTCCTCGATAACGGCAACGTCATAACCGTATGTTAGCCTCGAGTTAGAGTCAATTTAGAAGTAAAATACGTGTCACGATCAATCGTCGTAAAATTGCTGTTTTATACCATTTTTCCGAAGCCATCATAGCGTGAATATATGGTCGATGCTCTCGGAACGTGGTGGTGAAAGGGATAAGATGTGTGTGGCAGGCGTATTTTACGACCATATTTCTATCAGACCTAGTCGTATCCTAGTCGAAAGCTAGCGTGCAAAAGGTATCTCTGCGTTGACGAATTCTGGTTGCTCATTTGCAGTTTCTTTATTCGCACTATCATTGTAAGATATTTGTCAATTCATCGTTAGGATCGTCGCTAGGAAAGCTTCAATTTTGAAGGTAGCACTATTGTGGTGGTGTTCTCCACATCCAATAGGAAAAATAGAAAAAAGCAATGTGATTCTCTCCGCGCTTGTTTCGTTGGTGAGAACTTGCGCTTTCGATGGATATTATGATCAATCTTTTGTAAGATGTTCATTGACAATGGACAAATTAGTTACCAAACAGTGAAAAAGTGAGGATAGCATCAGAGCTAACGATCTAAACGATTAGCAATTTTCATTGATATTGGTAAGGCCAGACAAAACGTTCGACTGAAAGGGAAATATCACTCTAAATATAAATATTGGAATTATTACTCGGGACTTTTTTGTACGAACGAATATGAAAATTAACCGCGACGTAGGCATCGGCGTGGGCAAACAATTGAGGATTCCTCGACGTTCACGAGTACCTGTAGAATCCTCGCTAGTGCGAACATGAAAGATAGAGAATGGAAAAGCGCGAAGGGACACTGGAACACTCCCGGTGAGGTCTACTAATGAGAACCTCCGTAGGACATTCGTCTTTCATGCCGGACACGTTGACACATTTCTGCCTCTCGGCCGGAATGGAACAAGACGCACAACTGGCCAAGCATCTGCCACGCGACAGTCGCTGTCTCCTCACTTCCGAAACAAGCGCTTTAGCCAGTTGACGCGTGATATTCCGGTGCAGTATTCGCTTGTCTTATTCGGTAATTTATGTGTTTCCTTATCGCCAGCGTTGAGATGAATTCCGTGGCAATTACTGAGCAATAACACCTTCTAACGTTTAAGCAATTGTCCCGTCAGTTAACTTGAATATCGATACGATTGATTTCACTTTTTAACGATTTGTAATTATAATCTGCAAGTTAAAACTTCACGAATGCTGCGCTTTCTAAATACTCTCTGACAAAGTGGAAGGTATTTGTAGATTTATACGACTGTGTTTGAACTGTGTTACTTACTTAAAATACGTGAAAATTAAATTAATTCGTGCTGTTGTCAAAGACATGGCACGCGCGCCAGCACCGTCGGCTAAAGACAATACAGGATTATTCCCGGGCAAAAGATGTCCTAGCCGAGATATAATTTCTCTTTATTGGATGCAACGCGTCGTTCCCGGGAGAATGAAAGTAAGGAAATAAAGCCAAAATTCTTTTGATATCGGAGCATATCGCAAGTAGAAAGATAAACGCGGGACAAAGGGGTAAGTTTTCTGGTGAAATGTCTCACCCTTGAACTAAACTGGCGAGCAGTATTAGCCAGCGGCATCTTGATATCATCCGCGGAGAACTTGCCAACTCCTTTATACAGACATTTATTTCCAAGGCATATCTGTTACAGCCAAGTGGCGGTCTCGCAGATTGTACTACTTTGCTTTGCGCCGACCCATTCTGCCTCCCCTCCTCCACCGAGGGACTTGGAAGAACCAAGGAAAACATAATCGTAAGTCATTCGTTATTGTCGCGAAACAGCAATTACCTAACTCTATATAGGAACATTATACATATTATTGGAACTGAACGCGTCAATTATCTTCGGATCACGTTTACATAAATGTTATTGGCTCGGAGGATACAAGTCTTTATAAGAAGTTGATAACTTTGTAAATAATGTCTTGTACATTATATACGTGTCGACTGTCAGTAGATTCGATTGACCAATCGAGATATTCATTAACTATTTGTAACGGTGACTATATCTCGACCCAGATATCTTCAATTCGAGTCTCAGTCCAAGCGTTTTCAGTAAAATGGAAGAGGTAGCCGTACATTGTCCTAAAGCGCCCTCTAGTTCCTCTGGCGACCTCTCCGGCTTTATGCCAGCGAGAACAGCCAACTATACGCCACGCAAGAAAACACAAACTTTATACGTTACGGTGAAACTACCGCATCGAGGGGAACAAAAGACCCGCGCGGAGACATTACGAAAGAGGAAAATACGTGGCGGCGAGCTGCTGCAAGGGCTCATAAAGAGGGAACATGGAGTGCCAGTATAACGTCGAGGACAACGTTTACACGAACGCCTTCCTCGCCATTTTTTCCTTAAATCGTTTCGTCAGCTAACTTTTATAATGTCTTAACGCTAATTCTCGCGATAACAAAATACGCACAAAATGTTTCAAAGCGTAGTGGTTGTACTATATTAGCAACATGACGTCCTACATTACCGATCTTAATAAAGGAGGAATGTAAATTGCACGCGGCTGCATATCGCATAACACTTATTCCTTATATCGATATACGTCGATATTATTAAATCTATCTTAATCGCGTGATGGTAGGAACCATGTAACTCGTCGACACGTACATGATTCCTGGCCATCCACCTTTCATGAACTTTCCTTTGGCGCATCCTGTACACGTGCGGAATGTATCCTGTTACCCTGCGAATAGCAGAGTATTTGTTAATGCTCGTGCGCGATCAGCGTGCGGCCTCTGTGCAAACATGTCAACTTGTCGCGCCGCAGTGACTCCACACGCGGACAGGGACAGTCGGCCGCTCGGTCACTGTTGCGTGTCACGACACTGTTGCTATTTAGCCTTCCATCACTCCTGTCTTTTATGCCACTCACGTGACACGTGCATTACCGACTCTTGTGGAAGCCGCTTTCCGCGCCACTGACAGGTATGTTTTATATCGCGCGTACGCCCGTCGTGACCTGGGCAAATTGGATTTTTCTATCGCAACCAAAGCGAACGATTTAAGTGAAATGATTGCCAGTTTCTGCGAAATGCTTGATAATATATTCAAAATTTGTTTTACCTTTACCGTTTAAAAACATATGGCAATCTATTCATTGATAACTAGGAATCTTCATTTTTATCCATATACGAGTATATAGAAGCGTCGCTAGAAGTTTCGAGATCCGTTGATCGTTAATATGGGGTGCGATTTTTCGTCAATTCTTCTCACGAATAGCAACGTTGAACTCTTGCGAAGATGCTTCGTTAATATTGTATTTTTGGGGTCATCCATCGTGATTCATACAGCCTGTCTTTTGTGTTACCAAAGGAGAGTTCCTAGGACACGTACAGAATAAATAACATCTCCCCTGGTCCATATTCAACCACCGCTCCCTAGCCAATGAACGACGCCTTCTATCACCGAAGGTGACTGACAGGCACTACTCCATCAGCATCATATTTCCTAAACATAACGAGATTAGGTCGCGTTGTGACGGCACTCAAAGCTAATTTATATTCTAATCGGTACACGTTTCCGCCGTACTTTCGAGTCTCTCTATTACGTCTAGCAATGGCATATTTATGTTATCCATTATGAAACCTCAATGTGCCGTATACGTCCGATCGAATCATTTTTTCTATAGCAACAGCTGAGATAATTTACATAAGTCGATATCACCATTTCGGAGATATCATTTAACAAATTTAACAAGGTATAGCATGGAGAAAGGGAGAAACTGTATTCCCAATGTCTAAATGTCCCATCGCTTATGCTCGAGGTTTTTCTATTTTCACGATGCACGGTAACAGGCTCGTGTATTCGTACGTTATATTATTGACGCCATAATGGGATCACAATTGGTCCTCATTATATGCGAATATACTGGTCTGAGGGGCACGAGACACACGAATATCCATGCAAAGCGACGCGGACCAAGGACTACGAGCAATCTTAGCAGTAGATTGGCCAGCGAATGACAGGTATCGACCTGAATCAACATCATTTCCCCGCGAAGCGTCGCCTGTGTCCTATCTTGGTCCTTTCCTCTCTATCTACGTATTAACCATACGTCGTTTCCTAGTCTATAACCTACGGCATGTGCGCATAAGTTTGTACAAAGAGAGAGAGAGAGAGAGAGAGAGAGAGAGAGAGAGAGAGAGAGAGAGAGAGAAATCGAGACAGTGAGAGAAAGAATGCATGATGAGAGGAACGAAGATAGGGGAGTGGGAGAGAATTATTAGCTGGCTACTCTACTCCACTACCTACCGTGTTTCTTGATTACTATCGGCGCAGCTGCGCCCACAATTTGTGTTTCCCGTCAACCGTGTGTAAGAGAGCCGTCCGTCAACGTCATGCCCATAACGATGCCAGAGTCTGATGCTAAGACGCCGCTGATAGCCCGATATAGATACGTATCCGTCATAAGGTGTTCTTATAATGTATTCTTTCGTCTACCAGTATATCGCGCAACAGTATATTGTGCAATCTTAACAGTCCGTTCTTACGAAGGTAGAGACAATATCTATACGATGGCATATTATCTTTAAGTCAGCATATTATCTTTAATAAGCATGTGCGTGCTTGTGTACGATACAGCAAATTATAGCTCCATGAATTAAATACGCCTGGCGTAAGCGTCACATATCGAATGATAAATATTGAACAGAGTCGTTATACAGACAGATAAATGCACATAGATATTTTGTACGTGCGAGTAACAATGTTGCAACGATATGAAATTACGCACGAGAGATCGTTTCCTATCGTTAGTAATTCATGCAAATTACACAAATGAGATGCTGTTACACAAGTAGTAATATGATGCACGACATCAGCTTCTCCGAGAGATACTCCGAGAATACTATTTTAACTGTTTTAACCGGCGAACGCGTAACGAAATTATTTTCAATTCATCCGCCTTGCGTCTTGCATGTCTTTAGGTATGGCAAATTGCGCGCTGACATGTAACAACGCGATTAAATCGAATTAGTTTTTTCTCCGAGTTATTTATCATGTTAGACATAGAAGTGTAAGTTCGATCACTGTGATGCAACGATATTTAATCTTAGATCTCTACCAAGTGGCATGTTAGCGCAACAAATAGGAATGCATAATATGCCAAATAAAAAAGTCATGAAAAATACAGTGATTATAATTTTATGATATGTATGCGTAGCACATGCGTGCACGTACGCGTGTGTGTGTGTGTGTGTGTGTGTGTGTGTGTGTGTGTGTGTGTGTGTGTGTGTGTGTGTGTGTGCATAAATAAAAAAAAAAGTTTAGCAATGACACATGCAGCACTATCTTACAATTAATATATTATATCCTCTCTCTAATTCTTTAGTTTATTCTTTAGTTTTAATTCTTTAGTTCAATTCTTTAGTTTCGCTTCGTTTCTTCTGTTGTTCAGATTATGTCTTACGCGAAATTTTTCGAGATTTTGATATTTTATCTCTCTCTCTCTCTCTCTCTCGCGGCACTTTTTTCTCGTGTTTAATCATAATTTTCGAGGTTATCTGGGCGGGACTGCGAACGTGGTAGAAATGGTCCGGCATTCGTTTTGTGGCAGGAGAAAAAGTAGGGAGAGGCGGTTTGAAATTTACCGCCGGCGGACAGAGGAGTGGCTGTATGGCGGGCTGTCAGCTGTTTTCCGAATTCTGTCAATTCTTGTCAGTTGCATCGACCAGTTTAGCATAAAAATGCTGTTACGGTAGATGGTCGGCTTTCGAAGGCTTTGGCCGACACGGTACAAACGTATCGTATATCAAAGCAGGCGGCCATGGTCGGGGAAAATAAGAAAGTTTTTGTTCTTTTTATGGAGCTACGGTCGCCGTGGGCGGTGTCTGATATACGATCGGTGTTCAGCATTTTGTTGACGAAAAAGCTACTGCATCGATACGCATTTTATCTTGTAGACACGAAATATCTTCAATAATATTTAGCTGCACATATACTTGATGCGCGGAACACCTTCCCTATGTGAGCGATAGAAAAAAACGCAGTGTTTTTAAAAGTTGATGCAAAATATATGTCGCAATATCATACTTTTTACATCTCTCTCAACGCGTATCTGTTTTTGTAATAATATGTTGCAGGTGAAAGCAAGATCTAATCAAACGCATACATGAATTTCTATTTCAGTTGGAATGTTGCGACGCAGCGGTTCGTTTTTCCGGATAATTCACTGATTGAATACCAAATATATACAAATACATATATAAATCCTACTGATTTATCGGTCAGACGTTTCATCAGTCAGGTGTTGAACAAGCTGCCATATAAAATTCGAAACGGAATTCATTAAACCGCGCTGATATTGAAGACTGATACTCGTATACACAGGAATAGCACAAATTTCAGGGTACGCCGGTTTGGGCCTATTCCCCGGATGCCTATTTAACTACTGTAGTTAACGTAATATGACATCCGCCGTGGCAAGCGATTATGGGGAACACGCGATGCAAATTTACGGTATTATCGTAATAAACAGGTTATAAAGGTTGATAGCTTCCTCGTGTATTGAAATTACACCACTGCCGTGCGGCTTTTACACGTTCGTGTCTCAACGTAAATGTATGTGTGTCTGTGCATTTCATGTATCATGTATATACGCGCCATTACGTGTATGTGCGCGCCTGCGCGCGCACACATACACACACACACACACACACACACACGCGTGAACGTACGTCGGACGTATACAAACGGGGTACGTTATTAAGAATGTTAACGTATGCTCGTGACGGGCTGTCAGGAACCCCCTTATCCGGCTGAGCTCGCCTCGGCTGGCAGATATAAATATGCAATAGCGCTTGTCATGCGCAGCGCCTAATAATTGAATGTATAATAAAGAAGGCGTCGCTCGGTGTCATGCTGACAGACAGACTACAGAGACTACGAGCGAGAGGAGCGCGCAGACAAACGTCGACTGTCAATTTCATTTGCTTCTTCCATCGAGCCGCCTGTCTGCTTATCTCGGATGTCTTTCGCGATTGCTCCCGATCGCTGAAGAATGTGGAATCGACGTTTCCTGTTCTTTACAAGCCGTGCATTAATTAGGAATTTTATTTCGAGATTCACGCAACTTTCTGATTATTTTTGAAAGGGACGTCTCTCGCGATACCTCTTATCTTACCTTCATACTTCCTCCTGTCCGTCCAAGCATTGGCGCATATCTTGTGTGTAGATATGTAGTTTAACTGTCTAAAATAATCTGACATTCGCAATTTAATGAGCACGATTAAAGTGTCGTTCGAATGCGCGCCGTCGGTGAGACAGTGGCCTGACATACGTCGAGAGAGGAGGGCTGTAAACGGCCGCGATTCGGTATCCATTTGAGGTTGAGAGTGCCCTCCACTTCCGTGACAGCTAGGCAAACACCGAACTGACGTTTAGAATAGCTTTTATTTATTCTAAGTTGTTTATTTAGGCTGCCGGGATCGCGTTACCTGAGAGGCTTTGAGTGGCAGCGGGGGAAGGCTACCGTGTCAGCACCGGACCCAT